CTTGTCGCTCCTGCCAGTGAATCAAAAGCAATTCAGCTATTTAGTTCATTTCACTTGTTTGTTTGTATTCTTTTTTTTATTTAAATCTGTTTTGTTTTTGATTCTCAAAAGAGAACAAAGATGTAAGCAAATTGTGTTTTATACAATTGTATGTTATTATGACAAGACTATTGTTATAGATACATTTCTCTCTCTCTCTCTCTCTCTCTCTCTCTCTCTCTCTCTCTCTCTCTCTCTCTCTCTCTCTCTCTCTCTCTCTCTCTCTCTTACTCTCTCTCTCTCTCTCTCTCAAGCTGAGCTTCGACTGACGTAGTCTTTTCATTATATCTGAGTCAGTGTAAAAAGAAAACAATACAATGTTATATCTTCGATGTTTTACTCAAATTGAAATGAAAGAAAATTATTACAACATTTGTTAAAAGGTAATCCTTCTGACATTGGATGAATGTAATTAACTTTAGCTCTCTAGCTAGTTTATTCACGCAATTTAAACCAAAGTATAGCCTATAGCTGCAATATAAGTTAGTGTGCATGTTGTCGGACGTCCACTGACTAACGTAGAGCGTTCACACAGGATCTGCTGGTCATATGATGTCCTGATGAACAGAAACACAAGCAGCCCGCTGGACTCAGATCTCTAGATACCTCATCACTCCTCCGCTGCTCCGGTTCAAGTCCGGGCTGCGGTGGTTTGTTGATACATGTCATCTTCTTCTGTTTGCTATAATCGAGGCTACGTAGTTATGCAGCGCCCCCAAGGTCAGTAAATGGAAGTACTACAAATAATCCCGTTTAGTGTAATTATTTCACAAGTTTTGTTACACAGCTCGAAAAATATTACCGAGGTCCGGACCTCGGTGACCTCAATGGTAGATACGGCCATGGGTATAATAAGTGGTAAACTGAAGAGCCGTTTGGGAGCCGAAAGAGCCGGCTCTTCTTGGTGAGCCGAGCCAAATGATCCGGCTCACCAAGAAGAGCCGGAATTCCCATCACTACTGCATAAACATGGCTGAGTCAGCGATAACTTTCGAGGGGTGGAGGTATGCCCATTATTTTGAGTTCGTCCGAAGAATAGACAGGAATGTGACGGTGAGGTGCAAACTGTGTCCAGGCCAGAAGCTGTTATCCACTGCTGGAAACACCACGTCAAACCTCAACAAACACCTGCAAAGAACACATGCTAAGGTGAAGCTACCGCACACACTATTTGTTTTTTGTTTATATCACGTAGTCTGTTCTTCTTCTCTGTCTTCCGGTTGTTGCCTGTTTTGAATGACAAATACACACTACCGCCGCCTGCTGGTAAGGAAAGTTATTGCCACTCACGCATGCGCAGTTCGTACGTGCTCGGCGAGTAAAGTAACGAGTAAGGTAACGAGTTACTTTATGTAGATAGTAACGAAGTAGTGTAATATATTACTTTTAAAAAAAAGTAATATGTAATATATTACATTTTTTTAGTAACGACCGCATCTCTGGAGTTGGCGTTCTCTACTCTGGTTTACATGAAGAACAACAGGAGGTCACGGCTCTCTGTTGAACTGGACTTGCGAGTGGCCCTCTCCTCAGTGCCACCAAAGATTACAGAATTCTGCGCGCCCCGACAGGCACATGTATCTCACTAATTTGTAAGTCGGCAAACATATTTACAATAGCACATGTTTCAATGCTGATTGCTGAAATGTTACATTTATAATTTGTAGTTCAGGACCATGGACAATGCAGCTTCCTTGCATTGACAGTTCTCTGTGCTGAATTTCTGCTGAGTTTCCTTTGCCTCATTTTTAATCTGTCTGGTTTAAATGAGTGTGTTGCTGCTTTGATGAAGCCTAATTTGATAAAGTTTCAAAATAATTTCTGAAATATTTCGTTAATAAATATTTCATGAGTAATATAGTTTTCTTTGTCACATTTTATTTGGCATTAGTAAATAATTATGCACATTTATAGATATTTTACATGATATGAGTGATAACACGTGTTATAAGGGCTATTTTTGCACAATAGGTGTGCCTTGAGATTTTTACTTGTCCTTTGGTGTGCCTTGGGCACAAAAAGTTTGGGAACCACTGCTGTAGAGGGCAGTACAAGTTGCATATATAAGAGCTATTTTTTCACCATCAAGGTAGATTTGGCCTTCATTACTATGTGCCAAAATAGCACATTACTCACATTATTACTTTAAAAACATGGCCACTGCCACTGTAAAACCCCGCAGCCATGAGAGAGTGTTTGATTTAATTCCACATTGTACAATACTTATTTTGAAGACAAATTGAATTAAGAAGTTTAAAGATTTTCTTATTGCTTCCGTTATTCAAATTAAACTCTGAGATATACCACAGTTTTGCACCCACACACTATTTCTTGCATGAGCAGTGACCTTTGACATCCTCGTGGATTCATCTTCTTATTGCAGACACATGCATTTCCTAACATTCGGTCTATATGCTGTAAAATGTATTATCTCTTCGATTTACACACGGCATCTATAGCACGTCTGTCCGTCCTGGGAGAGGGATCCCTCCTCTGTTGCTCTCCCTGAGGTTTCTCCCATTTTTTCCCCTCAAACTGTGGGTTTTCTCTGGAAGTTTTTCCTTGTACGATGTGAGGGTCTAAGGACAGAGGGTGTCGTTTTTCTCATACTGATATTCTGAACAATCTGTGTTGTTGTATTTGCTGTAAAGTGTCTCTACTGTAGGCTAATTTTATTATATGTACAGCACTTTGGCTCGACCAAAAATCGTTTATAAATGTGCTATATAAATCAAACTTGATTTGATTTGATCATAAAACAATGAGTGGCGCCCTGATAATGTATTTAAATGGGGAATGTATGTACAGTCTGTGTGATAAGCTGTCTCTCTCCAATAGACTATGACCTAGAAATGTGCTCAGATCTCTCAGCAGCTGCCGGGACTGTCCTGCCACCGGCACCTGGTTTCAGTTAAGTATTTTGTTGCTACTAGCAACCAATACTTCAACTGTGCCATAGCAGTTGTCATTTAACATGGTTCCACCTAGTTTTAATCTTTTAGTTGATATTTTGTCATGATTGTTGATTTAAGATGTTTGCAAATACGATGTAGTCTACTTTTAGTCTGTTTTGTTTCTGTTTGCTTAAATATCATCATTTAAAAAAGAAAAACAATCGTTAGTGGGGTCATGTTCAGCATGCAGCTCAATTGTTCCTCATCCACACCTGAACATTTGTTTTAACCACAGATAAAGATAAGCCACATGAGCTCAGTTTATTTACTTTAAAATATGTAAATCAGCATAACTTGAATCCAGCAGTTTGAGTTAAAGTTTGTAGAAGAAAGTGTGGTGTATCAGGAGGAGGAATAGTTGTATATGTTACTTTCTAATAGTAGTGTTTGCATTATGATGGCAACAGAATGGAGTTCAACTTGACTTCTAAATGACTATACTAACAAACCCACACTAGAGGGCAGCCTCTACCCGAATCAGGCTTCAGTCCCGTCCTTCCACCATAAAACTGTAGCAACCTCGTTGCCCGAGGACATCATTACACACTCAATAAAGCAATAGTCAGTCATTTTCTCTGCTTAATTGATCCCACTGCTACCCAACAACGTGTGGTGTGAAATGTTTTACTGCAGCAGGAACAGCAGCATGCCTCAGAGTAAGACATGCTATTTGTAATTATCTTGTTGTTCTGTTCTTGCATGACTGGCCATCTGTAGACAGCATGCAATACACTTGTTGGTCAGCGGCCGAGGTCAGGGGCTGAGCAGTGCATTCCTCTCAGAGCTGTCTGAAGGGCTGTAATGACATGGTGCTGGTATTTACCAGGGCTTGTGAAACACTCGTCTGGAGGACAATGGCATAGCACGCTCTTGGCCAATCAAAAACCTTTTGGGAACAGATATGGAAATTGACAAAGTCGTAAACAAACACAGTGTAAGCCTGATAAGATTTTAAGGTGTGTGTTTGCATGCAAGTTGAGAGCAAACAGTTGGTCTGTCTCTCACTAAACACGTGCACTTCATAATGAAAACAACGTGACTCAATGATTTAGGAATAAAGTATTTATTACATTATATTATTTATTATTGTTACTGTTTCTGTAATGATTGCCAACGATTATCTGTTTATCTAAACCTGTGCAGGATGAAGTGGACTGGAACTCATCCTCACACACATTGAGAGAGGCTGGAGGACAGGTCAACAAGTCCATCAGAGGGCTAACACATAACATCCATTACATTTAGAGTTGAACTCATCAGAGCACCCAAAGGAAACCCCAGCTGACAAAAGGAGACCATTTTAAGGCCCCTGCCAGTTGTTGGGTGGTCCGACCCATGACCTCCTTGCTGTAAGGTGGCAGGGCCATTCAATGCAAGGTGTCACCTGCTCAGGGACAATTAGGGGTTAAGTATCTTAGAAGACATTAACATCCAATTGGTAGATGACCACTCTACCAATAAGTGCTGTGATTCTTCTGAGAAATTCACTGTATATTGCTGAGTAAAGACATCTTTAACTGTATTTAATTGCATTATCTAAAATCCTGAGTTTCCAAAATATAAAACTCAATCAATAGGAGCATGTAAAATGGATTAAAGTACACAAGCTAGCCAGACATCCATGCCATGCTGGCAACTCCAATCACACATTTTCACAGATTAGCAAACCAGACATGTTATCGAGTGTTTGTTTGTGTTCCTGAATCCTCCCTCCCACACACACTGCTTGAGCTGTCAGCATGGCAGGGTGGAGCCAACGGAGCTGCACATGTTTCCAGCATGTTCTGACGCTCCCCTCCTTGTGTTATTTCGTGCACGGCTAAGCTGAAAAATAAAAGAGGAGGGCCCAGTTTGTGTAACCAGCAATGCTATTTTACCAATCACAGGGGTTTCCCCAATCCCCACCCTCTCTGTCTCCCTCCCTTTTTCACTCCCTCCCCTTTTCACTCCCTCCCTCTGTCTGTAGGCACACCAACCAAAGAAAAAAAAAAGTGCAGGGAAAAAAAGTGATAAGCAGCTTCTGGGTTTTGCTTTCAAGCGCACTCCTGCTGAATTGGCGTGAGGGAGTGTATGTTTGGGGCGTTTACTTTTTCTCCTGCCACAGTAGCAACACACTGCAGCAGCACCGGCCCCGAACAAAAGGCTAAGCACAGCAGAGCCACAGGAGAAACTCAGGGATAAAAGAAGGCAGAGCAGCCCAGCGTGACTGCATTTCTCAGGGAGGAACTGAACCTGCCATTTAGCCCTTCTGGTCCCGGAGGGAAGACAGGACGCTAGACTACAGATAGACCAGCCTGTCTGTCACTGAGCTGTTTCCTCTTTCACTTCCTTCATACACCTCAGTCTGTCATCCTTTACTGAGATTCCTGCATCTTCCCTTGTTCACCTGGGCGTCTTTCCTTTCCTCTACCTGTCATTCGAGATGTCAGAATATGACTGCCTGTCGCCCATCGGCCTGGACTGTTGCAGTTGCTGCTTAGACCTGGCCAATGGCTGTGATGAGTCAATGGCTCAGGGCCTCGGTTCTACAGGAGGCTTACCAGGAAGCCCCACCAGCCCGAGTGTCAGTCACTTTCGCCAGCTACGCAACCAGCTGATGTACCAGAACCTGAACACAGACAAGTTGAACAACATCATGAGGCAGGACTCCCTGGAATCTGTGGTGAGGGACCCCTGCTTCCTGTTCAATGAGGGGATCTGCAACAGCAACATTGACCAGACCATGCTTTCCATCCTGCTCTTCTTTCACAGGTATGTCTGTTATTTGCTGACAGGTTCATGCTTATCTGATAAGGGTTCGACTGAATAGAAAGGCTTATGTCATTAGGACATGAAACTAGAACTGAAAGTTTTTATTTACATCAGGTACAAAGTCCACATTTTTCCGTCTGGGACTCCATGTATCAAATCACAAAAAGAGTGCGGCTTAAGGAACTTGTTTTGCTTAAATGAAACCGATGACGAACGGTGGCTAATCACGTTTTGTTGGATCAGCACTTCTTATAATAAGGCTGACATCAGCGTTTATAGTCATGGATTAAGTTGAGGATAGTATGAGGGCGTACATATTGATTGTGTTCCAGAAATGAGTTTCAGATGAGACTCTGTTAGAACACATTATAACTTACTTCCTTATTACAAATAAAATGTAGATTATCAGGTTATAACTGCTCTCTGTCAAAAGCACTACAGTATGTGTTTTTCTTACTTCCAATTGAAAGCAAATTAATTATGGATTCAAAACATTCAACAATGTCCAAATATTTATGCAGCTCACAGTGTCTATTTACATTCACACATCCATGACATAAGTGCAGCATATTTGATATGTTACAGTATGTGACACTGACAATGATGTGTGCTTGAGTAGTACAGTTAAACATTACAATGTGAGTTTATCACTTCAAAACAACTACACTTTAAACATAATCCAGAGAACTGAAGAAAACAAAATTGAATCTTAAAATAACGGCTAACAAAAACACAAGTTCATTCTACCAGATTGAAGTCACATTGATTCAATTAAAATTATCTTTTATATCTAGGGGCCAAATAAACTGGCTTGATTCCTTTTCTGATGAGCTGCCAAACACTGTTTATAAAACACTGTTTGGCAGCTCACCCCACACTGTTTGTATGGAAGATAATGTACTCAAAAGTTGCTGCCAGTTCGTTTAGTTTGCAGCTCCTGCTCAATAAATTCAGCCTCAAATTAACAGTTGCCATCTTCCAAGTTGGCTGCAGTTTTGACCGATGCTGAACTCCTGAACCCGAGCCAGAAGTTACTTTGCAGTGTTTATTAAGAAAGCTGTAATTACGTATGGTATGTCTGTAAAGATCTACTGGGAAATAGCAGCAAATACTACTGTACACAAAGCTGTTATCAGCGTAAGAGCCACCTTTGAATGTTATATACTCTGAGGTTGTCGTCATTTGAGTCAGTAAAACAGAGATATATGTCAAAGGATCATGACATATAGTTATACACGTATGTTATATGATAAAAAAAAATCTGATAATGTAGTAATGAAGAGGGATTTTCCTTTTTGTTTATGATGGTGAACAGCATATCTTGATTTCCCCCTCTCTTACCACGTTTGTCAGAGTGCTGTTTTCTTTCTGTCACTATATTTACAAAAACATTACAGACAGACTTTGAAACCATACAGACTCTTGGTGATGCAAACCCATCTCCCTTTCATTAAACTAAAAAACAAAGTTACTGTTCCATTAAGATTTTATGGGAAACATATTTATATACATACATATAACATATTTGCTTTGGTTTTAGATTAAAATCCAAGTCCTCTACTTTTTACAACATGTTTAACATAAGTTGCCCTTTTGGAATAAACATCCTTTACTAAAACATTTCTTATATTGAGTGCCATTAATCAGCCCTAATCAGTTGGAAACAAATGTTTTTCCCATTTTTGTAAGATAAAATATCTGTGGAAATGTTTATGCTGATAAGATGTACCTGACATGAACATGGTACTGGTATTTATCATCATTGATTCATTTATTTGCAGATGTTATCATATCAGCAATGTTCTCCGCCAATAACCATTATCAGTACTTTATCAAGTTTCTCCAGAAGCTAAACTGGCTGGGAATATCCAACAAGTTACATTTTAACCTGGCTTAACTTTTTTATATGCTACAGGCCATTCTTATCTTCTGTGGTGATGATTAATAACGCATGTGTATGGACCGTACAATAGAGGTAAACACATTTGCTGTGCACGGCAACTGATGACATTAGTGATAAGACTTTAACTGGGTTTAACTGGATTTTGTAGCTTTTGGCTGTAAAAACATATCAGTGCCTTCTCTCAGAGAGTCAGAAAATATGAAATGTTGACACATTACAGTTTAAAAAAGGGATTACCTCAGATAATGAAAAACAACAAAATAAGTTACCATTGCTATGCGGATGACACACACGTTTACGTAACAATTTCACCAGGAGACTATGCTCCAATTCAAACACTGAGTAAGTGCATTGAACAAATCAATGACTGGATGTGTCAGAACTTTCTCCAATTAAACAAAGATAAAACTGAGGTAATGGTTTTTGGAGCCAAGTCAGAACGTATAAAAGTTAGCGCTGAGCTTCAGTCTGCAATGTTCAAAACAACAGAGCCAGAAATCTAGGTGTAGTCATGGACTCTGACCTGAGTTTCAACAGTCACATTAAAACAGTTACTAAATCAGCCTACTATCACCTAAAGAATATATCTAGGATTAAAAGACTAATGTCACAGCAGGATTTGGAAAAACTTGTCCATGCTTTTATCTTCAGTAGACTCGACTACTGCAATGGTGTCTTCACAGGTCTCACTAAAAAATCTATTAGGAAGCTGCAGCTGATTCAGAACGCTGCTGCTCGAGTCCTCACTAACACTAAGAAAGTGGATCACATCACTCCTGTTCTGAAGTCTTTACACTGGCTTCCTGTGTGTCAAAGAATTGATTTCAAAATACTGCTGCTAAGCTTTATAAACATAAAGCTTTGAATGGTTTAGGCCCAAAATACATTTCTGACCTCCTGCTAAATTATGAACCATCCAGATCTCTCAGGTCTTCAGGGACTGGTCAGCTTTCTTTCCCCAGAGTCAGAACTAAACATGGAGAAGCCGCGTTCAGTTATTATGCTCCAAATATCTGGAACCAACTCCCAGAAACCTGCAGGTCCGCTGCAACTCTGACTACTTTGAAATCCAGACTAAAGACTTTTCTTTTTGTCGCTGCTTTTAATTGAACTATTCACATCTTAAACTGCACTGCAACTTTTATCCATGTATTTTTTCTTTTAATGTTTATTTTATTAGCTTTCCTTTTTAATGACTGATTTTAAATGCCATTTTCTTAATGTCTTTAATTTTTTGTAAAGCACTTTGAATTGCCTTGTGTTGAAAGGTGCTATATAAATAAACTTGCCTTGCCTTGCCTTTCCTTGCCTTACCTCTAGCTGAATAACACATCACATCAGTTCTAGACCATAACCTCCACACACTAACTTCACTAAGCAATACCTTTCATACCAATAAGTTTGAGTTATACTTGAATATACTCAGTTGAGTTCAGTGGCGTAACAAGGTTGTGATTGGCCCCGGTGCAAATATTGTTTGCCCCATCGCCCCAAACATAAGTGCACGCTGATGCGCTCACACACACGGACATACACAACCACTCAGAAGCGCCACATGTATAGGCTATCAACAACAGCCTGCCCTGGCCTCAGACCACCACAGCCTGACAATGGCACAGCGAACTAAGAAGAGGATTAAACCTGTTTCCTTGATGTTTGTCTCTGGGGAATGGGCTGGTAGGCCTACATAGACCGGTTGCTATAATATAGCTTTTGATCTTGGCATCGGGGGTCTCAATAACTCCATAGAGTCCCCTATCGGTTGGGGCCCTTGGGGGAACTGTTGGACCACTGCCGGGCACAGCCAAATCCAGCCTCTCCTCCTGGCTGGCTGGAGAAGAAGGTTGCACAGCCACGGCCACGGATACAGCTTCACTTGTGGAGCTAGATGGCAATGATGGTGGTGAGCTATCGTTAGCCTCTGGCTGCCGCTGCACGTCAACATTGCTAACGTTAGTGCTCGATTTCGAGGACGATGTATGACAAAAAAAACGGTCTAATTTTGTCAGTTTAGCTGTTACATCTCCTTGTTCTCTCTTGTCCTTTCTCTTTTGAGCGCCGCTCTTGTGCTTTGGTTTGCTGTACATTATAAATGCAAGCTATTACATTTTTTATAATGCTGCCAAACTTGCTGCTGCTAGCTATACAGTACAGGTTGATTAAACGGTTCGCTCGTCACGCAAGGTATCACATGACATGAAAGGGAGCAAGGTCATTGGACAGACAAATTACAAATTAATTTAGGTTGCCTGGTTACTTTGAAGAATGCGTGAACCGGTCAATGCCATTGGGGCCCTTGCCGGCTCGGGGCCCCGGTGCGTTGCACCAGCTGTACCGTCGATAGTTACGCCACTGGTTGAGTTATTGGTTACTGCATTCAGTGTTTACAGTACCAGCTGGAATAATGCCTGTTGGCAGGGCTTTGTTTAAAGTGTTACACAATATTTATTTGTATTTGCTGCTACGCAGTCATAATGACACAGCTAATTTCTAAACTAACCAAGGACTTACCCTTTTATTGTTGTATAGTTGAATATTCATAGAAACAAAAGAAAGTATGCCATGTGAAAATGAAGCAATATTGAAATATTGACCTCCCTATGTCTTCATGTGAAAAAGGTACGTGTAGTTCATATGAGAATGTATACACCAAACTGGCATCTCGTTTAAAAAAAAAAAAAAGTTAATAAATAAATAAACTGGTTATAAGTGCCAATATTTTCAGGTCCAGAGGAAAAGTGTTTACTTGCGCTAATGGCCTGTGTGACGGGGCATTGGTCTGGGCCAGCTCAACTGTTTGCCTGACAAACAGCCCTTAGCAGGGACACTTTGTTCCTGGACCTTTCCTTCTCAGGAGGGAATCACAGACACGGATCATGTGGCTTTGATGGCTTGGCTTTCTCACAGGATTAACCATTGATTTCAAATGTGTACCCTTTACAGTATTAAAACACAAACGCACTCATTCATTCACACATGTACTCACAGTCTATCCCATGAGATGAAACAAGAAAGCTGCCTTGCTAAGCTGTGGTTTGCAGAAGCTCATACATTTGTTTAAGTACTCACTTTGGGAGGGCCTGGCTTCTGATGAAAG